CATCCTCTCAGAATGTACTCCAAGAACCAGGGGAGTGGCTCCAGCAGCCACCTCTGAAAGGTTGACCAGGTCCCATCAAACATTTACTAAAGACAAAGAAAGATTCAGAATGCATGCTGAACAAGGGTGAAGCTGCCTGCATTCCTGCTACCTGCAGGAGCCTGCGTGGAGCCTCCAGGAGCCTGGACTCAGTGGCATCTTTGAAGAAGCTCAGCTGAAGAACTCAGAGGCTACCTCAGGTCTGTGGGTTGGCTTGGTTGGCCACCAGGTACCAAGCGAAGGCCAACTTCCCTCCTTGTGAATACGCTCTACTGGAAATAAGGGGGCTTTCAGCCCACACGATGTATTACAAACAAAAACATCATAAATATTCCCAACAGCTTTGACAAAGGGTGAAAAACCTGCTTCAACTTTTCTTCTGAGATTAACCACACCACCCTTCTGTAAAAGCGCAAAAAAGTTGTTTTTCATTTTTAGGTCACTAAAAAGTCAACGAGGTCTATGGTAGTTCCTCCTTTGGCACACTTAGTTGTTGTATGTTATGGGTCGGGTCGGTGCAGAAAGAAACGACGAGACCTGATGAATGTAGCTTCAGAGGAGATTAGTCTCTCTCCAAGTGAGCCCAGAGCCTCAGAAGCATCTCACATTTATTGAGGGGTAAAGGCAGACTAAGGAAAGTGCATAATTACCTATGTGAATACAAACTACTATCTCTATTGACTTCCACCATTTGCCTAACACTAGGTTCACACAAATGCTGGTGTATAACATCCCAAGCAAGGGATCAAAGGACAGAGCGCCTGCAGGAGAAGCTGTTATCTGCTGCTTTGGGTCCCAGCTTTCCGGGAATTTGCAAACAGACAGCAACCCTCCTCGGGCTCAGTCCAGTGTTCCCTACTCTCTTGGGACATCAGGCTTTTGTCTTAAAACTATGTCTCTTACACTTAGTACTTTCACTTTGATCTCCGCCCCCAACATGTTTCTCTTAGACTCACAAAAAGCTATGAGACTATGGTCAGAAGTAACAATATTAATATAAATTTTTTCCATCTCTAAAAATTACTTTTTTCTTTTAAATTTGATTTTTTAAGTCTTTTAATGAGATGATAGCGCAAAAGCACAAATCCATAGAATGCTTTTACTTTTGTCTTTGCTTTTCATTTAGAGACATAATTTTTTTAGAGTTTTTTTTCTTTATATTTCGTGCAGTCTCTCTCTCTCTCTTTCTTTCTCTCTCTCTCTCTCCCTCCCTCCCTTCTCACTCTCTCTCTCTGGTGGAATCGGGGATTGATTGCCAAGGAAGTGCTTATTTTACTGAGCCATCTCCCTGGCCCCATTGTGCAGAATCTCATTATGTAGTCTGAACTCATACTGATCCTCATTTTCAGCCTCCCCAGTGCCGAGATTACAGATGTGCGTCACCACGCCCAGATTCAATGGCCAGCTTAGTGCACCTGGGGGCAGGGCTGGTGCAACATGTGGTGCCAGGGATCAAACGCTGATCCCATGCTTGCCTAAGCAGGCACTTAGTCCGCTGAACTATCTCGCTAGCCCTTGGCGACGTAATGTTGATAACATGATCCATGATCACCATGTCATTTGAAAAGCTACAACTATACTTGAATATCTAATATAGGTAGGCCTGAGGTTCTTATCTATCAAAAATCTACCTTTCTATCTCTATGAAACTGGCCATCACTCATTTGTGAGGAAAAAGATAGCAAATATAACCTTTTATAAAATACCTTTAAATGCAGTTACATTTAAAAAAGGAGAGGGATAACTTTATTGCAAAACTTGTCTGTAAAGTTGAAACTGAAGTCTTTTTTTTTTTAATAAGGAGGCTGGTTGAGGGAGGTATTAATCAGCCTAAATGTGGACAGATATAACAGTCCTTCAGTAACTTCTGTTCTTCCTTTCTTTTCTTTATATGACATCAAGGTTTCCCAACACTTCCCAGGAGATGCTCCCATTCACTGGTCAGTCCCAAAAGCAAGACACATAAGTCTTCTAGCCTATATTCTGTGTGTTCCCAGCTGACCCTCACACTTGGTCTATTTCAGTTGGTAGAACTGACAAACATACAAAACTTGGATTAGAGAAAAGTATTTTTAAATGAGTAAAACATTTACTTTTAGGGCAGCAAAGAGGAAGAATGGAAACATCTAGCATATTCCAAAAAGTAGAGATGCTAATGCTCTCTTGGAGTAACCAACTCAGCAAATAGCTTAGGATTCCAGGCCATTTTAGGGAAACATCTCAAACCATTTCAAACCAAAAGGAGTGCTTACCTCGCTGAAACGGGAAGCCATTCTGTCTCCACCTGCCTATGAAAATGAATGTCTCAGAAGCAGCCCAAGCTCCAACTTCTGTTTACCTGGGATATTCAGCTTCTCCAAACAAAACTGCAAACTAGAGGCATAGTGACCTAAATCTAATTTTACATTCCTTTCATAATTGAACATAGTGCTGTTATGTACAATATGAAAATAATATGAATAAAATGTTGGAAAAAGATATCATGGGGTGGGTTAGGGTGTCTCATGGTTAAATCTTTTAAAAATTCTTTGGCCTGCTGCATAATGTGTTCACTATTCGGCATAGAGGGAATTCTCCAGATCCTGGAAGCTTGCTAAAATTGAGTACAGACTGCCTCCTCCAAACACTCTTGAACATTATAATGCAATGTTTTCCATATTAAAGGCTCATCAAGCTGACAGTGTAGTCTCCTGCTCTTGAGTGGACACTAACTGGCCTTACTTTCTCATCTGTCGATTAAAAGACCATACACTGTGAAGGCAGGCCTCATTCTCTGGATTTCATGTACCTCCTGGCCATGTAAATGCTGGCCCTTCACAAAAAAAAGGCACTAACCCTAAGGTGGGAATCTGTATCTCACCCGCAAGAGTTTGCTCCTCCCTGCCGTGGTTCCCACAAGAGATCTCCAGTCCAGCTGCAGCAGAGGTTGGGAACTTGTTAGAAATGCACATTTCCAGTGTCCAGCCCAGGACACACTAACTCTGAGTGGGGCCCCCTTCAGATGACTGATGTGCTAAGTTTAAAAGCCACAGTAAGCAGCCATCAAGCCATGTTTGTACCTTCAGAACCTGCAGATGGCACTAAAGGCCAGCTGGAAGCAGAGAAGGACTCTGCAGCTTTCATTGTTGTAGAACCCTTGCGAACTACACAGAGCCACAGTTCCCCAACAGCTGTTCTTCCTGCTCAGGGCTCAAAAGGTCAAGAACTGTGTCAGCTTTGAATAGGAAATGGGTGGAAATTCTTCCCACCATGCAGTACACATGATAACCCCACAATTTTCAGGGATGTATTCAATATTAATTCCTTTAAGGGCTTTTGTGTTTTGTACAATGAATATACAAAGACACTTTTAAGAAGATGTTGGGGCCGGGAAGAAGGCTCAGTGGAATAAGTGCTTCCCTGGCAAAACGGCCTGAGTTCAATCCCTGGTTTCGCCAAAAGAAAAGAAAAGAAAAGAAAAGAAAAGAAAAGAAAAAAAAAAAAATGTCAATATTGATTAAAGAAAGCAAAATAAAAAAATTAAATAATCATCAGCTAATCTATATATCTGAAAAACAGCACTGCACTTGATGCTGAAAGAATGATCCTACTTTGAATCTAATTATACTGATTTGACAAAAAAGGTTTGTTTGTAATGAAAACCGTGTTATATAATTAGCTCTTTGTTAAACTCTTGCAAAACCTTGAATTTTTCATTAGTTGCTTTACCATCTAAACATTCTGATTGTGGATGTGAAGCAACTAGAACTCTAACACACCAGTGGTGGGATTGTATAGTAACTGGTACAACCACTTTGGAAAACCATGTCGTGGTGACTACTGAAGTTAAACACACCAACAGAATCAGGCCCACTATGCACCCTTGAGAAATGAGTGTCTGACTCCATCAAAAGCTTCAAATGAATGGTCTTAGAAGTGCAACTCAAGTTACTAACCAACAACTCAAATGTCATCCTCAGTAGAAGACAAATGAACTGAAAACAATGGAAATGCAACCAACCAATAACCAAACCACCACAACACACAACACAGACCAATGTGACAGATATGCTGCCTGACAGAAGCCAGGCACCAAGAGGTACAGTGGTCTCCAAACAGGCAAAACTCATTTCTGATGGCGGAGGTCAGCAGAGCGATCACTTGAAATAGAAAGGCAACGTGAAGAACTGCGGGGAAGTTCTACTTTTTGACTCTGGTATAATATATGAAAAGCTGAGTAAGCCGCACACTTAAAATCCGTATTTTTATGCAGATGTAACGCCTTACAAAAAGCAAGGTGGTGCTAAGCATATGTGCAAATAAACAATTCCTGAGTCTGCCAGGTAACGATTTTCAATAAGCACTACAAAAATCTGGATGACTGGGTAAACTACATATCAGACTATATATAAACTATATGTATCAAATAATATTCTCCATTTTCTGAGCCAAACCTCAAAACTAAATAGAATGAACAGGGCACGTTTCTTGTTTCCGAAGTTGTACTGTCGAATGTATCCTCTGTAACAAACGGCCAACCGTTTTGGCTCGCACACGCAGGGCCAACTTCTGCCGCACCACTTCCCAGCACCGCTAGCAGGGCACTGGCCGGGTCCCGCCGCCGCCTCCCCCGCACGGCCTGGGCAGCCTCGCCCAAGCGCCTTCCCCTGCCCGGCATCCAGGCTGGTAGGGGCAGAAGGCAGGCTAACTCAGAGCGGCCTCCGAGGCCGCTTGGGGGCCACAAGATCCTTGGTGCCGACCCAAGAGGATCCCAGGCACCTGACCCCCCGGCGAATGAGGGGCCAAACCTCGCGGACTCCCCGGGACCGCGCGACGCCCCGCGGGTCTGAGCCGCCGCCTGCACTTCCGGGTTGGAAGCCCCACGTGACAGCGCGGGCCCGGCGGTGGAGAGGCGCGGCCAGGCCCGGCGCGCACCCGCGCTGTCCGTCCCCCCGCTGCTGGGCGGCGGCGGCCCGGGGTACCTGGTAGCAGGAGCACGAGCTGCCGGGCGCTCTCCCCGTCCGCGCCGCCTGCGGCCATGCTGCGGCTCCTCCTGCTCCTCCTCGGCCGCGCTCCGCTGGGGAAGATGGCGCGCGCTGGGCGGTTCCGGGCGGCGCGGCGCGGGGTCTGGGCGGCGCCCTTGGATTAAATTCGGTTTCGTTTCCGGCACCCGCGCTGTTTGGGTTAACGGTTTTAAATTTAGCGCCAGGCGCAGCCGTGGGCGGAGTCAGGGACTCGGCCGCGCCCCTGCGCTTCCCGCCGGCGGTGCGTGCGCACCTCGGGCGGGGAGCCAGTGATGCGGCGCGGGGGGCGGTGGCCCCGGGACTCGGCGCGCCCAGCCTCGGGCTGCCCGCGGCCCTGCTCCCCGGCGCCCCGGCGCCCTGGCACCCCTGCCTAGCGGGGCAGTGGCCCGAGTCCGGGGGTGTCGGCCGGGAGGACTGAGGACGCCCACCAAGCCCCTCGACCGGACCTGGTGCCCCTGGAGCTGGGGCCTGGTAGAAGAAGTAGCTGTCACATCTGAAACTTAACTCCCAAATAAATCGTGTCTTGTATCTGAAAATATTTTGACCCTTGCTGCCTCAAGCATTGGAGTGAAATGGCAGTGTATTGTGTGCATTGTAGTTCATTATACTGGTCTTGATCATTTAAAAAAAGTGCACAATTTGGGGCGCAAAATATGAATTCGTTATTTTGGACAACTCTCTAGTGAGTTTAAAATTAAGACATTTAAAGGGTGATGTTACAAAGCTAGGTTCATGAAATTTGAGGAAATGGGTCACTTTTAAGAATAAGCATTTAATTGAAAATGCTTCATGGTTTTTAAAAAGATGAAAATTTTCTTTTATATTTTGAAGTAAAACGGGTTTCTCCCCAGCCTCCGATCCCCAACACTTTTAAGTGTCTGTTTTTCCAGAATTTCCACATGCAAATACAAATTCATGTGTGAATTTGTATATCTTTTATACAAATGGGAGAATAATATATGTACACTTACCAATTTTGCTTTTCTTTTTTTTGATCTTGGTAAATTCTGCAGCTTTAGCTAAATCTGTCTCAGCCTTTTAAAAACATTTTAACTTTCAGTTGTGTTTCTCATCGTGTGAAACAAAACTTCAATTGACTGCAGGACACAGAAGTGGAAAGGAGGCCTGTCTAGCTGAGGAGGAGCACCCCAGCGCCTATTCTGAGGCAGGCTGCAGATTGGTACTGCTCCGAGCATCCCTCTTCCCCAACTCTTTACTCTAGTAAGAACTATGCTGAATAACCCAAATCCCAAGGCACACCACAGTGGTTACTAACAGCTACAAGAAATATGTTTTCCACAGTTCCCTTGCTCTGCCTTGCATAGATGTTAGCATGTACAACTTCAGAGTTATTTTCTAGCATTTTTCAGAATTGATTTATATAATTCGTCAAAGACAAACTATTTCGTATGTACACCTAATGCCAAGGTCTACTTAGGCTGCCTTTTGTGGAGGAGATACACAGGCACTGTGGCCTCATGAAGTACAAGAGCAGCCTCTTCTTACATGTTGGAACATTTCAACGGGAAATAAATTTTGGTTATGTCCCAAGTACATACTGCTCTTGTCTAAGCAGAGCCACCTCTGTAGTTTATTCACAAATCTGCATAGCTCCAGAGAGAAAAAAAAAAAAAATCAAGGACCAGTAGTACATGGATTTTGATACTTTTCTTAGTTTTATTCTGTAAAACATCCAATCCCAAGTTTTATCTTCTGACCTCTTCTGTTATTTCCATCGCATGTTAGATAGTAAGTTCAGTATAGGTACATGTTTTGCTGATGTTGTCTATAGGTTTGTTATGTAATCTGTAACTATATAAAGCTCTATTGCAAGCAGGTTTAGGGGCCAGGGGTTGGATTCCTGGGCCTGCCATGCTGGCCCTGCACCTGGGGTGTGCTGAGACAGAAATTGAGGTTGGGTGTGGTGGTACCTGTAATCCCATCTCTTGGGAGGCTGTAAAGAGGAGGATCACTATGAGTCTGATCTACCCTGTAGACCCTTCCCTAAAATAAATAAATAAGCTGTATTTAAAGTATAAATTGTAAATGAAAGTTCATTTTTAACTATCAATACACTCTTTGAGGATGGATTTTTAGGAGTTGGTGGAAGTTCTTACTGTAATCTTGTAGGGCAAAATGAGAAGCTTCTAGGAGGCCCTGGAAGGAGTGTAATAGCTGCTTTTAAAAAAAAGAGATAGACTTTGGTAAATACGGGAAAAATATTAAAGTGCAATGTGAGCACTTGTAAACTTGTACTTGACACTTGGTCACTTGACAGTCTATGTCCCTCTCCCTTTCTCCCTCCCTCTCCTCTCAATGTGGCCTAGTCTGAATAAATTCAACAATATTTGCTGGTATTTATTCTGTGTCAAACACTGTTCGGGTGGCTCAGGTTATCATGAGTAAATAAAACATACAAAACTACATGCCCTCCTGGAATTACCTGCAAAAGAGGAAGGCAGACAAACAGTTCACAATCCATACAAAAATTAGAACCTAGGGCCAGCCAAATGGCTCAGTGGATTAAAGTGCCTGCTCAGGCAGGTGCAGGGGCCAGGAGTTTGTGCCGGCCCCACCCCCGGGGTGCAATGAGATGGTGATTGAGATTGGGCATGGTGGCACACACCTGCACTCCCAGGACGTGGGAGGCTGTAAACAGGAGGATCACTACAAGGCCAATCTACACATGAGACCCTGTACACCCTGTAGACCTTCTCCTAAATACAAAAAGAAAAGAAAAAAAAATTAGAATCTATAGTATGATAGAAGTGCCTGGTGCTATGAAGGAAAAGAATACAAGATGGAAAAGGGCTTTGTGTGTAAGGGGGGATTGCAAATTTAAATAATGTGGAGTGGTGAGGGCAGGCCTCATAAAGAAGGTAACACCTGGACAAAGGATTTGAAGGAAGGAAGGTAGCTAGGTATATGAATATTCAAGGAAGGGTGTTCCAGGCAGAGGGAACAGCCAGTGCAAGGATCTGAAGATGCAGCTTTCATTGCATGTTTGAGGTCAGCTAAGTTAGCTGTGGAATGAACAAGAGAAAGAAGAGGAGCCAAAAATGAGGTTGGAGAACCAGGAACCCTACACTCTCCTGATTATACCAAAATGGGGCCCACTAAGGTAAGAAAAGAAAATAAGACCCACAGCTTCCCATTTCTAACAGTCAGAGGATGTGTGAGCTGACTGATAGTGGTCAGGCTACTTCCTTTCACTACCCCGAGGGTGCTTGGGCATCTTTCTGCCAGCCCCCTCTGCTGTTGCTTTGGCAGCCAGCTTCTAGGCCTTACTGGCTCCCTAGGCCCTGTGAGGAGCTACCATGCAGCTAACAGTCACAAATCCTGCCTTGTTATAGGGACTCCGCTGCTTCCCTTCTGAGTCTGCTGCATTCTTCAGACATTGATGTATCGCAGATGACTGCCCTGCAGCCACTCCAGATGACTGCATAGTCTCCAGATGACCCCCCTACCCTCTGCCACTATAACCCTGCCCCAAAGAGATCTGAAAAGTGCACGAAGCTGCATATATGGGATGGTCCTCCTCTATATAAGTGGTATTCCCTCACACTCCGCAGGGCACCCTCCTGTGTGCTAACCTCCCACACTGCAGTGCAGGTCCCAGGAAAAGGAAGACTCAGGTAATCCTACTCTTGGCACTATTGCCTACTCATGATTCTTAAATTGAGCTGAGCAGATTATATTAAAAGGATGTGGTAACTGATTCTTGGTCCTGATATACTCCAGAGAGGAGTGTAGACCTGAAGAGCCCTAGAGCTGCAGTAGAAGCTGTTCGAAGAGCTTTAACTGCCAAGGAAGTGTGAGCCTAGATGCAGAAGAGCTGATAGGGTCAACTGGCAACTGCTCAGAGGCCCAGGAACTCAAAGCTTGGTTATAACACTAAGGGCTAAGAATTCTTGACACTCGAACTCCAGAATTGCTAAGATTCTGAGCCTCACGTGTTGATATCTATGTATGAGTCTTGGTTTTGCTCTAAATTGAGCAAAAGTGCGTTCAGCTGACTCATGGTAAAAAGGCTGATCCAAGAGTAATAAAGCATAATTGTGCCTAAGAAAACTCTTCTCATCATTATAGTCCCCCAAAATAATTAAAACAACTTTAGTTTCACCAAAAACCTGAAATCCAGTGTTTCTCAAAATATTTTCAGTGTCATCCATAATCAGAAGTACTCCTACGAAATGGCTCAGCAGTCACACAAAACACACACATATGATTAAAACATAGATTGCATGTACCAATACCTATGTACATTGGTTGGCATACTGTAGGACTTTTAATACCATTTTCATAAATTAGGGTTCTTGTATTTATTCAACACGAATAAAATTGACTAAATTGATTTCACAACCTAGTAGTGTAATGAGTTGTCCTGTGCAGCTGAAAAAGCATTGCTATAGGCAAGCTGATCATTTTGGCTACACTAACACATGGATAACATAATCAATGTCACTGTCAACTCTGAGCATGCTTTGGCTAAAATCTACATCAGGGCTGACGACTTTATATAGGGAAGCACCATTAGCTCATTAATCAAAATCCAATGTATATTTAAGATACTTCACTTTCATGACAGCTGTCATCATATAAAAATATTATATGGGTTGGGTCACCACTAGAAAATTTAAAACATGTGAAATTTACGAACATCATTTCTGACAGGCAGCCAATATTTATGGCAGTTGACTAAAGAGATTTATTTCAAATAAACAAATGTTAAATGTTTCCACAAAAGCATAGACATGACCCTAATTAGTAAATCTGCTAATAGATTTTTCATCATTATCTTCAGGCCAATCTTTAGATATATTAGCTTTTAGAAAATGGTACAAATTTTAGAACTGTATTTCAAAAATGTTTAATAGTTTTCAAAATATTTGAGAACAGTACGATTTTATGAATGTCTAAGCACTGGTGCCATCCTGAACTATTAAATTGCATTTAAAAATTCAACACTCACTGTCAACTAAATAACAGTTTTATATAACTTTTTTATTTTGCAATAAAATTGCAATAAATACAATAAATTTTGTATTTACCATTAAAATTCAAGTATTGTAATATACTAAAATCAGCCTACTCACCACACAACAATGTCCAGTGTTCCTTAGTTACCACTGGATCTCTCAGCGCTGGAAATGCTCTGCATCTTGCCTGTCTTTGTTGGGTGTCACCAGCCAGATGTGGCTTTTGAAC